ATGAGTGGTGCCGAAAAAAAACATGGAGTTCAATTAATTGATCACTTTTACGGATGTTCCGGATCTTTCGGTCGATCATTATGTGGTCCCTAGGGTACATATACCAATAACAATACCGAATTCATTTTGATAAAACGTTAATGAGTGGTTTTAAAAATAAAACCACCGGGCTCTGGGATCATTTGCCATTTTTAAGAATGTTCCAGATCTTCTAGAGGTCCATCACGTAGTCCCCAGCGTCCATATTCCGGTCACAACTCTGAATTCATGCTAGTACGACGTCTATGAGTGGTTTCGAAAAACCACGGAGCTCTAGGATCAGTGTCATGAATGGAGCATTTTTGTCGATGTTCCGGATCTTCCAGAGGTCCATCCTGTAGTCCCCAGAGTCCACATTTCGGTTTTTACTACACATTAGTTGTAACAAGACGTCTATGAGCGGTTTCTAAAAAAAAAAAAACACGGAGCTCTAGGATCAGTTTCATGAATGGACCACTTTTACGGATGTTCTGGGTCGTCCGGAGGACCACTCTTGTGACTTCCCGAATGCAAAATTTTCCTAAAATGTGGTCATTCATCTTGTTAATAACTTTTCAAAAGACACCAGGAAGTTATCTCTTCAAATTACCCTACAATAAGTGTTTGACCCCAATTTGCCATAATCCTATATGCTGCGTGTATTCGTTAATGCCGGTTCCCATTGTGCGGTCCCTATTAACCGTACTATAGGAATATGACTGTATCTTGAAATCCTAACCATTACGAAGTCAGGACATCTACATGAAGTCCCTCACGTACCGTATGCGTGATAATGTTTGCACCACTAAGCAATGTCAAAATTCAAAAAATTCTCAGAAATTTCGTTATAAAGTTTTTTTAATTTATTCAAATGGGGGATGTTTTTTTAGAGTCTTAAACTATGTTAATCATCGGTCGAGTTTCCACTCGCTGCAATTACGGCCTCCACACGACAAGTTCTAATAATGTAGTCTGGATCAATTTATCTCCAGGTACGGGTCAATGTTTGTCTGAGGCTTGCTATACTCGGGTGGCGTTTCGAACAGGCCTTGGCCTTCATGACGCGCCATATTGAGTAATCCAACGGATTAAGATCGGAGCTGGATGGCGGCCACATATTCTTCGCCCAGAAAGGAAAATGTTCCTGCAACCACTTCTGAGTGCGGTTCGAGGTGTGGCACGGAGCCCCATCTTGATGTAGACCTCCGAGTTGACCTGGTGACCTTCTGGGATGAACACCGGGTCCTTTTTTTTTGCCATGGGAAGCCACCAATCCAAACACCATATCGCTAGCAGGATGCTTGGGCAGATACACGTTCTTGTGCTCGTCGGCCACGTCTTTTACCGGAAGAGAATTAATATACCGTCGGTGAACAGGATAACCGGATTTTTTCGCTTAAGGAAGTTCAAAATTTTCTTGCATCGTTCGACTCATAGCTCCCGGATGGGGTTGGTAATCATGTGAGTTTTTTCCGCACTGGATTCACCCGAATCTTTCTTTTGATAGTAGCGATAACCCTCGGAGCCCGAGTTGACCTCGGACGACCTGTGGCCACCTTTGTGGATAGTTGTCCTTTCTTTTCTCAGTCTAAAACCCTTTTGACGGTACACCGGGACACTCCCACGGCGATTGAAATGTCTTTTTGTGACATTTGCGCGTGGGACAAATCACAAATACGCTGCCACTTCGTCATGGTGCAACTATCAAACTAAGTAAATCGTTTTCTTTTATACACTGCCTACAACGGTATAAGCTGTAAGGTTACGTGCATGCAAAGAAAACCAAGGCATTGTATGCACAGGTGAAACGGGAACCTTATTTGTACGATCGTGCAAACATTATCGCGTATACGGTAGACTATTGTCACGTAGTGAGAGAATTCTGAACTAGCTAACGCACACATTTTAAGACATTGAACAACTTTCCCGAAGACGGAAATATTCTAAATAGTAAGGATCTTACGATAAATTTTATACAGGAAATTGACTTGCACATTAGCGCCACGTAGTGAGAAAATTCTATATTGCTGTTCTCTATTCACTTTGACCTACTGTTTAATTTTGCCGAAGACAGTATCGTTTTATATGCCAGGATCATGATATATTCCATGTGACCGTCTTACCTTTAGGGGTGGCCAACCTTACCTCGCATGATTTTTTTCTTTCATTATTGAGTATGTTTTTTTATTCGTGATAAAACATCATCAAATACAAAGGACATTTTCTGAAAATCTACGTAATTAGGGAAAGTACTCTAAAGTTCAATAATCACTAAAATTATCGCAGAAATTTTATACTTGGTTACATTTTACTTTAAGCTTTGGGTGACCGTGTTACTCCGTCGTCTCCTAAATATCTAGAGCGCTTTGCTAAGTGCCGATAGCTTATCACAATTTCTGGTTGTTAATGGGCATTGCTTACACTAAGCTAAAATATTTCAAAACCTGTTCACGTGGTTTCTCAACAGCCCCATATTATATGTTTTACCATGTGCCATACATGTGAAATCAATCAGGAGTAATATTTAACAACTTTCACGATTACACTATGTTTTAATGATCATAACAAGTAACCTGCGTGAGTGATATCCCAAGCATCTCCTGGTTTTGAAATAGTCATGTAAATGATGATTTCAATATAGACCAGATAAAAATTCACATTTCATTCCCCAACAGAAATGTTGATCCAAAGCGTCGATTTATTTTTATGTAAATTAGTCCAATTTTATGACTGCTAAATGCCTCGCAGTGATTTACGATCCATACATATGTGGATTTAATAAAACCTAAGTCAATACGACGAATGATCATTCCCAATGAGGTTAGATCAACGGTTGCTTCTTTCCCCAACGATCATCACGTTGCGTCAGTCAGTGGCATTAGTATTCAAAGCGTCAGCCACCCGATTAGAATGAATCACCTTGTTTATTACTCATCGAACCAGTTGAATCCTTGCATCCACCGTGAATACAAAGTAGGGCACACAAAGATCGCAAAATCGATCACTGACCATTCGCGAGCACTAGCCCAAGCTAATGTACATCATTCGACCCTGGAATCCGCGTGGTTTCCGGTCCTGCCCCAATGACCCACAATGAGTGTCCGTAGTTCTTTGTTTTACGTAATCTTCTCGATCAGCGCAGCGCTCTTGCAACAAGCAAGGGCAAGCCCGCCGCGCCATCTTCGACCATGACTCATCTGAAAATATGACAAACGTAAAACAAGCCAACAATCGCAGAGATGCTGGCTGAAATGGTAGGTCACCACCGCTGATCGGTGCTGCAGCGTTGGTGGAGTCCCATTCCCGTTAGGACCCGTTCGGTAATTTCTTCGATTTGGGTAATGAACTCGATTGGAAAATTAATTTCCTTCGGAGCACATTTGCGCCCCGCGTCTCATCCCCCATGCAAGGTTAATTGATTACGTAGCCATTCGAAATGCGAAAGGCACTTATTTTCGAATCCGCGAACTGCTCCACCTGGAAGATCTGGGACAAAAAGACACAACAAGAACATTTTTCTGCTCACTTCATCTAATCAAACTCGCTGAATAAATCAACTCCCCATGACCAATGTACTAAACTAAGAGGTACGTCTACGAATCGTACAAGCACTGGAACGGTATCGAAATGGATGATAAATGTTAGTTCTAGATTTCGTGTACACACAGGCACCGGCTGATGTAACCAATAAAGCACGAAGCGAGCGGAGCGAGTCGGAATGAATAATCATCGAATCTTGTTGGTTGTTGATTATTGTGCGCTGGTTGGGCTCCACTCGATGAGGGTGACGACTTGGAGTTGGATAAATATCCCGGAACGATGGGACTTCACGCTGTGATTCGATACAACAAACGGCATCGACGGAGTGCGGAGAGTATCATCTCAATCGATTATCGACAAGTGTTGTTGGCGCAATAAAATTCTTTTCCCATTCTTTGTGGCGTGTTGTACCCGGGCGAGGGATGGGGAAGGATCAGGTATTGCGCAATGAATTGTGTATGTGTGGACACGGTGCAGAAGAGACTGGTATAAATTTGTGCGTGTCTTACGATGAAACGAGATAGGCCACAATGACTTGTACATGAGGAATACGAGTGGAAAAGTTTCCCGTTGAGGGAGACATTTCCGTTCAGCTGAAGGGTTTATGGATTGTTCACTGTTATAATCATTGCATTGAACAGTGCTGAAATCTATAAAATGAAGCTGAATTCAACATTGACTCAAAGGTTTTACCCGGTTCTGCGTATGCAACTAAATTACATTACCACAGTTGAACTTTATCCTTCTTGAATACAAAGAACTAAGTGTACTAGTTAGGCTATATATCTTATAGAACGTCAAGAGCTTTAAAATCATCGGTTCCTATGGTCAGGAACCACCGCTGCTTATGACAAAAAAGCTGACTCACATCCGCAGATGCTCTAAAATTTGCATCCTCTACTGCAGATGTTCTCCTTGACTCGTGCTTAGCCGTATCAACATTTATCCAAACTTGATTATGCAAACATCCAGCTGTTGGAAATCCCAAGAGCTTACAAATACACTCCACCAAGGAAAAAAAGCAACTGGAGGAAATAAACACACCATTCGAAAATCCATACACTTCGAACCTGTTGAGGTGCCACGCCAAAAACAAACGAAAATCTCACGGCTACTCAATGCACACTTGAAATTAATTAATTAAGCAATTAGACTTAATTAGGACCCCAACGCTGGAAAGGCTGGCGTCCCCTCCAACCGCTGACGTTCGCCAACAACAACAACAACAACAACAGCAACACACATGACCGTTGCCACCGCTACTGCCAATTGCACCACCAATAGGTGCTCAGGCAGAAATTAGCTTTAATGATCTTTATTAGTTTTAACTTTAAGATTTGTGTTTCCCTTCCACCCCCTCTCAATACAAATTAAAAAAAAACCCTACGCAAAAATTTTGATTTGCTCGTATTATCATTACTCTGTCTCTTTTCTGCTTTCAGGTAAGCACTGGACGACGACGATGATGATGATGATGAAGATAATGATGGGGAAGACATTCTCGGAAAGTAAACAGTTGCACCACTGAGTCACTGGCACTGACCGACCAAGCTCGGGGAGGTATGTGGAGTTGATCTTTGCTTCTCTTTTTTTTTTCGTTTCGTCGAACGATTTGGCAACTTGAAGATTGAAATTTGTTTTTCGAGCTTCTCAAGTGTGTGGTACTCGATCGGAAAGGGGTTTGTTTTATGGTGTTTTTGTTTTAACATATATGTATACTACCCGAGGGTCGGCTATTGGGCAACGGTTAATAAGTACGTCAAGGTCACGAGCAGCCGCTTCGGTTCACGTGGGGGCCCTTTATCGCTCGGTTGCGGTACCGGTTGTTGGAATGCCAAGTGGTACCAGAAGGTAATTTAGCTCGTATGAATGATGCTGGGGTGTCACTGATTGGCTGCGGATAATTGAGTGTGCGAGTTTGCTTAGAATTATGATCAAATTTGGAGTTTGACCGTACTGGAGCTTGGTGAGGTGAGCGAGAGATCAAACGTTTCCAAGGGTGATCTGAGTGGTGATTGCGTTGATTAGATTGATCATGTAGATAATAACGGCAGAGGATGTTATTACTCTAAATTGGTTGAAAGTTTCTCAACCTGATTAGTAACAGGTGTATGTTTACCTCTGAGTTAGTGTTGGATGCAAAACACATGTTTGGAATGCTCTGAACTTTTTGCCTTTAGAATCTTTGTAATATCATACTGAGCACAAATGTGAAATTTTAAAAGGCAATTGACACCGTGATCAAAGATATCTTTGAAAAATATCATAATTATCTTCAAATATCAAAAAATCAACAGCTAGGAGCACTGACACTGTAATGGGGTGGGTTTAGGGTTCAAGCCTCCTTTCTACCAGAGCCTTGAGGTAAATATAAAATTGTCTTAGTATACAAAATATTGGTCAACTTAAACACTTTTTCATATGCACAGAATGGACATCGATTTTAGCGATTTTTACTAAAATACCGAAAGTAAGTTTTTATATTAAAGATCCCCGGTGAAAATGTTGTGTTGAAGTATCAAAATGCATGGGAAAGTGTTTTTTTTTTTCGCTGGGGTTTGGGAATTACAATTTTTAGTATTCAATTCATAATAACAAGCACCCCCCTCCATGTTTTATTGAGATATTTTTCACGACTTCTAACGAAAAAGTCCTGCTACTTTACCTAGAAGTTAATTCTAGACTTGACCTGGAATTTTTTTTTTCTGACTGATATTTACGATTAATCTTGAAAACTCCTTCCAAGGCTCACCAAAGGCCCTGCTGACATGCCCCGGAAATGTCTACTGATTTCTTCTGGAAGTTTCTCTAAACTTTTACTACCAGTTTCTTCCGACTTGCCTCGGAAATTTTTTCCGTCTAGGATATCAGGAGTCTATCAGCTTCCTCTGAAAGTTTCTTCTCACTTTCTTCGGATGTTTTTTTCTGGCTGCTCTGGAAGCTCTTTCCATCCTTTTCAAAAAGTTTTCATTAGCATCTATCGATTTATACCGACTGTAACATGGTCACATCACATGGAAGTCTAGTCGCATAGGAGCAGTGTTGTGAAAATCACTTGTATCACAAATATCACGCCAACCAATTATCAGCACTGAATAAAGCTCATGACATTTGATATTTTTAAATATGCCACTCATTTGAGTTATTGACAACTCAAGCAATGCAACATTACAACTCAGCAGTCATTTATTCTTGTCTTTTTTCACTTTCAAAGGATTATACCCATGCACTTTCCATTCAATGAAACGAAATACACAAATGTTTCCTTTTGAGTACAACTCCTTTGAGTGGTATCACTGTGCGCCAGCTACCACTCAGCGATTACATTCTATATACGCGAGTATTGATGTTCCGAAAGTGAGGATAACAATAACAAACCAATATTTTTGGCTAGTGCGAAAGTGAGGATAACAAACTTCTCACTTGACAATGGGATTACTCAAGTGTGCACTCCAACTTTATAGTACCCATTAATGAGTACAATTTAACCCATTTTGAAGTACAATAGATTAACCAATTAAATGGGTAAAATAACAAATATATTTACCCATTAATGGGTTATAATGACTCATTAATGAGTAACTTTTTTACCCTTTAAATGGGATAACTTGCTTTAATTCAAAATGGGTGAAATTGTACCCATTAATTTGTACTTTTCAATGACAGTATGCTTGTTATAAACGTCAAAAAGGTCAATGAAAAACAAACTGTCAAAACGACCAGCAGCAAGCAGCTATAAACTATGTTCAGATAAACAGATCGTGTGTTCTAAATTTGCCGCCTCTTTCTTTCCTAAGTTGTTCTTATGAATCATTTACGTAACGTTTTTTTCCGCTCTTCCTGGTAAGATGACACCCATCGTCCTTTGTCACTTAAATAGTTGCTCCATTTTCACTTTTTAATGTTTCAAGTTTTATTGACGATGCCTGTAAACAATCGATGTTGTTCTGGACATGCCAATCACGTACCTCTTATGGAGTTGACGTGAATTGCGATTCCAGGAGTACACCAAGGCAAAAGCTTAATCAACATTCTGTCAAATCCGACATGCGATATTACAAGCGTTGATTTGAATCCAATTGCGGATCAACCACTGGAATTGTCAATCGCAAAATTGGATGAATTACGCAGACTAATTCCATATATCAAGCAAAAAGATTATAACGCAACCGAGTACACAACATTCCTTTAATATTTAGAACCAGCAAGAACAGGAAGAAGAACAAATAATATTCGGAGTGATTTGAGATTTGGACGTAGTTGCTTTTGTAAACAAACGCTTCACTTGACGATTCCTCGCGAACAAAAGCTCAGCCTAGAAAATTAACAACACAAACAGGCAAAGGAATATTTAATCAAGCATGTCGTGTATTTTGATCCCGAGATTGGACTTTTCTTCGCGAGAAGTCGGTGATTGACGTGTTTGTTTACAAAAGTAATTACGCCCAAATCTCGAAGTTCTCCGGATATGGTTGTAGAGCACTTTGATGTGGATCTCCATCCACTGGAGGACAACGATGTAGATTTGATCGAATAACATGAATTAATGTAAATTTTTGATGAACAGCTGGAGCTAATAAATGTCAAACAAATCATGTGGAATGAAAAAAAAAAGGTTGTTCATAAAAATATATCCGATTATAAAAAATATGGAAATTTTCCATACACTTGCATTTGCCCTGCATACATCAGAAGTAAATTATCAGTTGTTAAGATAAACATTGCTTAATAATTAAATTGACAGAATAGTAGGTTTAAGACCATAAACAATTACAAATAATGTTGTAATTGTAATTATCTGACCTCTAAACCGTATTCTTACTAAGGTCCTAAGTAACATTAATCTTGGCAATCAGACCAATTTGACAGGCCCTAACTGATACTGAAAAAAAGGTTCTATGTAACAAAACCACGAGTTATTACTGAAAGTCTGTCTGTCTGTCTGTCTGTCTGTCTGTCTGTCTGTCTGTCTGTCTGTCTGTCTGTCTGTCTGTCTGTCTGTCTGTCTGTCTGTCTGTCTGTCTGTCTGTCTGTCTGTCTGTCTGTCTGTCTGTCTGTCTGTCTGTCTGTCTGTCTGTCTGTCTGTCTGTCTGTCTGTCTGTCTGTCTGTCTGTCTGTCTGTCTGTCTGTCTGTCTGTCTGTCTGTCTGTCTGTCTGTCTGTCTGTCTGTCTGTCTGTCTGTCTGTCTGTCTGTCTGTCTGTCTGTCTGTCTGTCTGTCTGTCTGTCTGTCTGTCTGTCTGTCTGTCTGTCTGTCTGTCTGTCTGTCTGTCTGTCTGTCTGTCTGTCTGTCTGTCTGTCTGTCTGTCTGTCTGTCTGTCTGTCTGTCTGTCTGTCTGTCTGTCTGTCTGTCTGTCTGTCTGTCTGTCTGTCTGTCTGTCTGTCTGTCTGTCTGTCTGTCTGTCTGTCTGTCTGTCTGTCTGTCTGTCTGTCTGTCTGTCTGTCTGTCTGTCTGTCTGTCTGTCTGTCTGTCTGTCTGTCTGTCTGTCTGTCTGTCTGTCTGTCTGTCTGTCTGTCTGTCTGTCTGTCTGTCTGTCTGTCTGTCTGTCTGTCTGTCTGTCTGTCTGTCTGTCTGTCTGTCTGTCTGTCTGTCTGTCTGTCTGTCTGTCTGTCTGTCTGTCTGTCTGTCTGTCTGTCTGTCTGTCTGTCTGTCTGTCTGTCTGTCTGTCTGTCTGTCTGTCTGTCTGTCTGTCTGTCTGTCTGTCTGTCTGTCTGTCTGTCTGTCTGTCTGTCTGTCTGTCTGTCTGTCTGTCTGTCTGTCTGTCTGTCTGTCTGTCTGTCTGTCTGTCTGTCTGTCTGTCTGTCTGTCTGTCTGTCTGTCTGTCTGTCTGTCTGTCTGTCTGTCTGTCTGTCTGTCTGTCTGTCTGTCTGTCTGTCTGTCTGTCTGTCTGTCTGTCTGTCTGTCTGTCTGTCTGTCTGTCTGTCTGTCTGTCTGTCTGTCTGTCTGTCTGTCTGTCTGTCTGTCTGTCTGTCTGTCTGTCTGTCTGTCTGTCTGTCTGTCTGTCTGTCTGTCTGTCTGTCTGTCTGTCTGTCTGTCTGTCTGTCTGTCTGTCTGTCTGTCTGTCTGTCTGTCTGTCTGTCTGTCTGTCTGTCTGTCTGTCTGTCTGTCTGTCTGTCTGTCTGTCTGTCTGTCTGTCTGTCTGTCTGTCTGTCTGTCTGTCTGTCTGTCTGTCTGTCTGTCTGTCTGTCTGTCTGTCTGTCTGTCTGTCTGTCTGTCTGTCTGTCTGTCTGTCTGTCTGTCTGTCTGTCTGTCTGTCTGTCTGTCTGTCTGTCTGTCTGTCTGTCTGTCTGTCTGTCTGTCTGTCTGTCTGTCTGTCTGTCTGTCTGTCTGTCTGTCTGTCTGTCTGTCTGTCTGTCTGTCTGTCTGTCTGTCTGTCTGTCTGTCTGTCTGTCTGTCTGTCTGTCTGTCTGTCTGTCTGTCTGTCTGTCTGTCTGTCTGTCTGTCTGTCTGTCTGTCTGTCTGTCTGTCTGTCTGTCTGTCTGTCTGTCTGTCTGTGTCTGTCTGTCTGTCTGTCTGTCTGTCTGTCTGT